GTTTGAACACAAACCGCTATGTACAAGCGCCCCGACCCCATCCCCATGAACCCGGCGTCCAACACGGCGATGCGGATGCCCCGCAGAGGCGACGTCGCGGGGTGGCAACGTCGCGGGGTGGCAACGTCGCGGGGTGGGGGGCGTGGGGGTGGCCGACTTGGGGGACCAGGAGCAAATGTTTGGTCTGGGGCTCGATTGGGATAGGGGTCGGGGACACCTTGTGCGTGATCTATGGGGGGCATGCAGTTTACTTCGCATGCGTGTGCGAGCTCGTAGTGCGGCGCGCTGCTTGTGGGGATACAGCCAGCGCCATGGATGTGCAAAAGAAGCACCGTTGCACATGCGTCCAGCAACAGTTGCATATGACGCAACTGGGCATGATTCTCAGTATGGTGACAATCGCATCTGCCACATCGTCGGCCGCACAATGGCCACTGTCATCACCACCCATACTCACCGACTCGAACGCACATGCCATGTAAGAGACGCTAGCGTCATCATCAAACATCACATTACGCGCATGCAATCTATTTCGCCGCAGCCGTTGTGTTGTTATGTGCGCACGACGCCGTGAGTTATTGATGTGGGTGTTGTAATAGTTTCGGTTAGGGCAAGCTACTGTTTGGTATTGTGATATCGTAGTTAGGTGTTGAACAGTATAGTGGCGTAGAGCTTCGTAGGTTAAGGCTTTCGGATGAGCACAACACTGCAAGCTTTGTGTGGTCTGTCTATGTGTGGAGTGCAGCTATAGCTGCGAAGATGCCAGAGGGACTATACACCTCCGTTTACATATCCCTCCCATCCCCCTCTCGCTCTCTCTCTCTCTCTCTCCGACGCCGTTTCGGCCCATGCGTTCAGCCGTTCGCGAACGGCTCCCGCGGCGCGCGGCCTAGATGGCCCGTGCCCGCGGGTTCGCGGCTCGCGCGGCGCCGCGCGCGGCGCCCGCGGCGCCCACGGCCCGCGCGGGCTCCCGTGCCATGGGCGGCGACGACGCCACAGAGGAGGCGATGCTGCTGCAGGCGGCATCAGAGATCCAACAAAGGCGCGAGGCGGCGGCGGCCGAGGCGACCGACAGCAAGCCTGAGAAGGTTCGGCTCGCGCCGACGTCGAAGAAACGGCCCACCGCGCCGCCGCGGCCGCCGGCGCATGAGCCGGAGCACCTGGTGGCCGCCCACGCAGCGTGCTAGAAGCGCCGTAAGGCGGCGTGGTCGGCCACCAGGTCCAAATCGACTGGCGAGTGGAAGCTCAGCTCGGCCATGCGCGGCTCCGTGGCGGACGCGCTGCTGGCGACGCTGGACTTGCCGCCAGCGATGTGCCCGAAGATGATCGCCATAGAGGGCCTCACCGAGTTCGAGATGAACGACGGCGGCGGCGAGGCCGAGGGCGGCGGCTACGACGCCAAGGGCGGCGGCTACTACGACGCCGAGGGCAACGGCTACTACGACGCCGAGGGCAACGGCTACTACGACGCCGAGGGCGACGCCGATGGCCACGACAGCAAGGGCGACGGCTACTACGGTGATGCCGATGGCTACGGCAGCAAGGGCGACGGCTACCACGGCGATGCCGATGGCTACGGCAGCACGGGCGACGGCTACCACGGCGATGCCGATGGCCACAGCACGGGCGAGGCTGAGGGCGACGGCTACTACGGCCACTGCTACGACGCAGAAGGCGGCAGCTACTACGGCAAGGACGGCTACTACGGCTACTACGGCCACGGGAAGGACTACGGCTACGGCGGCCCCAGCAGCTGCGAGGGCGGCAACGACGGCCACAGCGAGGGCGGCTACGAAGACCGCAGCCGCGGCAAGGCCGGCTACCAGGACAAGGCCAGCTACTACAGCAAGGACGGCTGCGTCGGCAAGGACGGCTACTACGGCCACGGCAAGGACGGCTACGTCGGCAAGGACGGCTACGTCGGCAAGGACGGCTACGTCGGCAAGGACGGCTACTACGGCCACGACAAGGACGGCTACTACGGCCACAACGACGGCTACTACGGCCACAAGGACGGCTACGGGCAATGGCGGCGACCGCCACTCCGTCCGCGGTACGACGGCAAGAAAGGCAAGGAAGGCTACTACGGCCACGAGAAAGGCAAGGAAGGCTACTACGGCCACACGAAAGGCAAGGAAGGCTACTACGGCCACGAAATAGGCGACGGCTACTACGGCCACGAGAAAGGCGACGGCTACTACGGCCACAGTAAGCACGACGGCTACTACGGCCACGAGAAGGGCGACGGCGACCACGGCAAGGGCGACGGCTACCACGGCAAGGGCGGCGAAGCCAGGCCCCGCGGGGGCAAACACGTCCGCCTGGCCAAGGCCCTTGCCGCGCGCGAGTTCGTGCAGGGCCTGGAGGACCTCAAGGAGGCGGGCCAGCGCTACGCCGCCTGGCCCAAGAGGACCCAGGCGGCGGCGTGGATGAGGGCCTCCGGGAGCACACGCGGCCGCAGGGAGGACTGGTATGGACTCGTCGAGTGCAGGCGCTGGCATTCGCACCATAGGGTGCTTAGATTGCGGGGATGTCTCCAGCGGTTTGCTTGTTTTGGCTCCCAGAATCGTGGGCGGATCCTCCCTGGGAGGCCCGCCCAAGGAGGCTCCAGGAGGCCCCAGGAAGCCACAGGAGGCCACAGGAGGCTTCAGGAGACAACAGGAAGCACCGAGAGGCTCCAGGATGCTCCAAAGGGCTCCAGGAGCCCCCAGGAAGCTTCAAGAGTTTCGAGGGATCCCCAGGAAGCCCCAAGATGCTCCAGGAAGCCCCAGGATGCCCCAGAATGCCACAAGAGGCTCCCCCGAGAAGCACCAGGAAGCCCCAGGAAGTTCAAGGAGGCCCCAGGAGGTCCCAAGAGGCCTCAGGAAGCCACAGGCCCCAGGAGGCCCCAGGAGCGGCCTCAATCTTTTGTGTTTTACTTATGCTCCTACAGGTCAGGCCTCTCCTAGGACACGAATACGTTGTGCTTTACAGCTGTTCCTATACACTGTCCTTCTCCTGTGGCTCCAACCCGAAGTGCTTTACATACGATCCTGTAGATTGGGCGTCCTGTGTGGCACGCATCGTTGGTGTTTTAAATCTGGTCCTATGTATTGTCCTTCTCATGTGGTTCCAATCCTAAATGTGTTGCATCTGTTCCTATGAATTGGGCATCTCCTGGGGCACGAATCCGCACCAGGAGGCTCCAGGAAGGCCCGGGAGGCCCCAGGAAGCCCCAGAAGGTCCCAGGAGACGTCAGGAAGCCACAGGAAGCCCCAAGAGGTACCAGGAGGCTCCAAGAGGCCCGAGGAAGCCCCAGGAAACGCCAGGAAGGACCCAGGAGGTCTCAGGAGGCCCAGTCCCCAGAAAGCTCCAGGAAGGCCGAAGGAAGCCCCAAGAGGCCTCGGGAAGCCCCAGGAGGCTCAAGGAGGAGCAGTCCCCAAGAGGCCCCAGGAGGCCCCAGGAGTCCCCAAGAGGCCCCAGGAGGCTCCAGGAAGCCGCAGGAGGCCCCAGGAGTTCCAAGAGGCTCAAGGAAGCACCAGGAAGCCACAGGAAGCCCCAAGAGGCCCCAGGAGGCCCCAGGAGCCACAGGAGACTTGAGGAAACCCCGGGAAGCCCCAAGAGACCCCATGAGGATTCAGTCACGCTCAGTCATGCTCAGGCCACTGACGCGCAGACACTCTCACCCGAAGCTTAGCCATGCGCAGGTTCACGCGCATAGACTCACTCGTATTACTAGGGCTCATACACACTCAAAGTCATTCACAGTTAGACTCTCTCCCAGGCTGTCAATATCCAAGCTCGTTAATATTCGAAGGTTCTTGCGCCTAGACGTTCACGGCGGAAGTGCCAATGCAAAGAGATGCACATATGGGGAGCTCCACGCGGTGAATAATTATTTAGACCTCGCGGAACGCGAGAGAGAGAGAGAGAACTCACCGCCCACCCTCAACACCTCCCACCCTCAGGTCATCATTATCTGACCCACTCACATGTAGACTCACTCAGATGCAGACTCACTCATACTCAGATGCGCTCGCTCTTAGATTCTTGATACTCAGGCTTCTCATGCTCGGGATCACTCATATGTATATTCACTCACATTCCTGTTACTTCCGCACACAGACTCTCACTCACTCACTCACTCACTCACTCACTCACACACACACACACACACACACACACGTTGTGAGGATGTCTCAGGCGAGGCGCTTCCTCCTCCTCCTCCTCCTCCTCCTCCTGGGGGGGTGGGGGGGGTGGGGGCCGCGCGAGGGGGGAGGGTCGCGAGGGGGAGGAACAGCAGGAGGACGTCTCCGCAGGCCCGCCCACCAAGGAACCAAATCCTGAACCGAGAGGCCACGAGCTGGTCCATCCCGCCGCACACGAGATGCAATTGCGTTGGCTGCAGTCAGGCAACAGAGCAAGATGCTATCCTGTAGGAGATCAGGCCCTCCTGATGACGAGCTCTGGGGGGTTACGTAGCTTGCAGAGTCTACAGTCTGTAGCCAATCTCCATGACAGGAAGACACAGACGTGTCTTCCTGTCAGGGAGATTGGCCTGCCGAGATTTCACAGGATACCCAGACCATCAGCCGAAACACAAAATTCAAATTCAGGGAGGGTCGAACTGAAAGGCGCCCTGGCCGAACTGCTGCGCGCCCCCCCCCCCCCGACAAAGGATCCGTGAACATGGGCCAGCCGAGATGCCACGGGATGCCCAGGCCGTCACCTGAGAAGCAGAGGTTCAAACTCAGAGAGGGGGTCGAACTGAGAGGCACCCTGGCCGAACTGTTATGTGCCCGTCCCATCCCAATCTCAGCCACGCGCAGAGGGGGGTGGGGGGAAGGGGGAGGGCTTCTTAGAAGCACCCCTGCTTCTCAGAAGGCGCGGGCCTGCTCTATACATGTAAGGCCGGCGCCTTTTAAGAAGCAGCCTCCTTCTAAGAAGCCCTCCCCCCTCCCTCCACCCCCTTGTGTGCCCCTCCCCCCCAATCGAAGAACCGTGGCGGTGCCGTCGCGTGCCTGGTAGGTCACGTCCCAGCAGGCGAAGTCTGGGCTCGTATCCTCCTCGCAAACACCGTACAGCAACTGGCACACCTGCCCCTCGTCGTCGGCCTTCTCGTTCTTGTCGGCCACGCACCCTGGGGCCTTCAGCAGAACGCCGACGCAATCGGGGTCCTTCTCGCAATTGTTCTGGCACGCGTAATAGCTGAACTCCGTGACTGGCCCATCCCTACTGATATCCTCGATGTTCGAGCATCCCGCGCCCCGGGTGATGAGCGACCCAAAATGGTTTGACTGCACGTCGTTCGACTGTAAAGTGTACACGTTCCAGCAGTCGTTCGGCCCCTCGATGCACTGCTCGTTCATGAGGTAACATGCCCCGACGCCTGACCACTCCTCCCGGCGATGTCCGTCACACTTATCGATCTGGTAGTTCGCGGCGAGGCATCCTGGAGTTTTGCGGCACAGGTCCACGCACGAATCTGCATCTGACAGAAACTCTACCTCCAGAGAGGACGAATGCCAGTTGATGCAACCTGTGTTCTCGGCAATAATGGAATTGCCCACGCCGACGCCGCTGCCTGCAGTGGAATTACCAGCGCCGGTGCCTGCGGCCATCGAAGTGGCCCTGCTTATGGACGCGACGCCCACAATCTCCGCCAGAAAAGGCTTGCGCATGAGCATGATCGCGACCAGGGCCATGCACAAGATACCAGCCGTACAAGCCACACCTTGGTGTGACCCCCTATTCGGCTTTGCTGGACAGCCTCGACCACGTCACACGTTTCCGACGGCTACCCTCAAAACGCAGGAAAGAGCTGCTGAGCCCAACCACGACCTGGCCGACAGCGACGACAGAGCAAACCGCTCGATATCTGCAAAATACGGGTCGTTGGCTGCGTGCGGCCCGCTGGGTCGATATGGCGCGAAGGGTAATCGATCGAGAAAAAAATGTTTTACCAACGCGGGCCCAAAACAATAGGTTCTTGCAATCTACGCGGTGCAATATACGTGGTGCAATGTATGCGTTGCAACTAATTTCTGTTCGCATTGAGTTGTCCACTCCACTGCTCGCGCAAACATCCCACCCACCCACCCGCAACTTGGTTTGCAAAATCTCTTCAGACCGTGGCGGTGGGTACCACATGGCACTTGGCAACAACAGCGACGCCGACGACGACAGCGACAACGACGATGACGACGCCGCCGACAACGACTACGACGACACCGACGACGTCTCCAACGACTTCGACGACGCCGACAACGACGACGACGACGACGACGACGACGACGACGACGACGACGACGACGATGACGACGACGACGACACGACGACGACGACGACGCCGACGACGACGATAACGACACGACGACGACGACGACGTCAACGACGCCGACGACGACGACGACGACGGCGGCGACGACGACGACGCCGACGTCGACGACGACGAAGACGACAACGACGCCGACGCCGACGACGACGACGAAGACGACGACGACGTCGCCAACGAAGACAACGAGGAAGGAGGGAGGACGACGACGGCGACAACGACGACAACGACGAGGGAGGAGGAAGGACGGCGACGACGCGAACGACGAAGAAAGAGGAAGGACGGCGATGCCGACGACGGCAACGACGAGGGACGAGGGAAGACGACGACGACGACGACAACGACGACGACGACGACGACGACGGCGACGAAATAGGAGGGACGACGACGAGACGCCGACGACGGACGACGACGACGACGAGGGGAGGAGGAGGAAGGACGACCACGGCGACAACGACGACGGAAACGACCACGACGCCAAAGAGGACGACGACGACGAACACGAGGAAAAACAGAGGACGACATAGGCGACGACGACGACGACAACGACGCGGGAAGAGGGAGGACGGCGACGACGACGACGACGACGACGCATGAGCGCGCGCGCACGCTTTTGTTGAAAATCCGTGTTGCGAAACCTTGTGTTTTTGTATGTTTTTCGGTAAACACGATTTTGAAGTCCTTCCGAAACCGATGGGTTTTGAAGGTTTTCGGCATACGCGCGCGACGACGCGCGCGTCTGCACTTCGTCCCATTTGTAGCAGGGGATTCTCGCGACGGCACACGCGCAAGGGCGTTCGACAGAGTTCGGCATGAGCGCGCGCGAAGCCCGTTTGGTAGCATTTTGTGAACATCTTGAAAAACATATGATTTTCTTAAGATTTCGCAAGATCTTTCGCGGAAGTTTTGTTAGCAACTCTGTGTTGCGAAACCTTGTGTTTTTGAATTTGTTTGGGGGAAACTCGATTGCGAAATCCTCCCCGCACCGAGGGTTTTTGAAAGATTTCGGCATGCGCGCGCGACGACGCGCGCGTGTGCACTTCGTCTCATTTTTCGCAGAAAGGGATTAGTGAAAAACTGTTATGTTAGAACAACAAATATCACCGGATAGTGTTTTGCACCAGGGAACCTCAGGGGGGGGGAAAACGGCCTAGCTGGGATGGTACGGTTCCATTTTTAGGATGGACGAATGTGCAGAATATATATATATATATATATATATATATATATATACACGAAATCATACTATCCCAGGGGGAACCGATAAGTCCGGGGGGGTAGAATCTATTCTCTTTTTAGAAAGGAGAAACCACGTGATGCAGTTTATGCGGTGCAATCTATGCGGTAAACATGGATTTTACATGCGAGTTGACACATCCCGCGCTCTTGCAAACATTCCACCCACCCGCCCGCAATTTGGTTTGCAAAACCCATGCGGTGGCGATTGCGATGAGTGTTTGGCGTTGGCTGGTGCATCTCTGCGGCCGCGCCAACCCAAACACGCGCGCGAAGCGGCCAGCTAGTTTGGCGCGACCGACGCGAACGCGGTGGCGCTGACCACTGGGCACATCCCTGCGGGCACTTCAGTGCGAATCGGCGACTTGGGCGGGCGCGATATCATGGCAACGTCGACAACGGTAGAGGCGATGATGATAGTAGCGATGCTGGTGGCGACGTTGGCAACGACGACGGCGCGGCCAGTTCGGGCGCCAATGCTGGTCACGCCGACGAAGATGACGGCGCCCTCGCGTCGGTGATGGAGGTTTTGGAAAGAGTTCGACATGCGCGCGCGGCCGACGCGCGACTGACCCGCATGGTATCATATGACACAGATCGTGCCCCAGCAGCACCCGCGCAAGGGCGCGGGAATGATTTCGGCATGCGGCGCCAGAGGCCCGTTTGGCAGAATTCAATAAACAAACGTTGAGCAACCGATGGTTACCTTACGAAATCGCAAAAGCGCGAGCGCACATGAAAACTGATTCTGTGAAACCATGTTCCTTCATATGTTTGTTGGACTCGGTTGTGACATCGCTACAAACCCAAAAGGTTTGTTCACGGATTTTTGCACGCGCGCGCGGCGACGCGCGCGTGTGCAAGGGATACTGAAAACTGTTGGTTTGGGATAGACGCACGCGCGCTTAAAACTTGTCGCAAAGGATGGCGGGGGGTCAGTGCCGGCTCGGTTGCGACGATGCGAGTTCATATTGATGGGGCAGAATCACAAATAAATTGCAATACAAAAAGTGAACTCATAATCCCGGCCGGGGGGGAGGGGGTCTAAGGATAATTTACGCGCGGCAGCCTATGCAATGCAACCTGCGCGGCGCAATACACGGGATACAATTTATTCACTTGCCGAATTTGAAGCTGTCAACTCCACTGCTCGCACAATCATCACACCCACCCACCCCGCAACCTGGCCTGCAAAACCCGCGCGGGAGCGATTGTGATAAGTGCTGGGCACTGGCTGGTGCATCTCTGCGGCCGCGCTTGCCCGCGCATGCTCGCGCGCGCAGCGGCCTGCTAGTTTGGCGCGACCGACGTGAACGCGGTGGCGCTGACCGCTGGGGACATCCCAGCGGGCACTTCAGTGCGAGTCGGCGACTTGGGCGGGCGCGGTACCATGGCAACGTCGACAACGGTAGATGCGACGGTGACAATGGCAATGCTGGCTGCGATGCCGACCGGGACGACAGGGCAGCCAGCGACGGCGCCGAAGCTGATCGCGCCGACGACGATGACGGCGTCTTCGCGTCGGCGACGAATGTTTTGTAAGGAATTCGAAATGCGCGCGCGGCCGACGCGCGAGAGTGGCCCGCGCGGGATCATTCAACGCGCATCATGCCATCCCAGCACGCGCGCAAGGGCATCCGAACGACTTCGACACGCGCGCGCGCGAAGCCCATTTGGCATTATTTTACGAAAAAATTGAAAAACTCATGGTTGTCTCAAGGCTTCGCAAGAGCGCGCGCGCACGCTTTTGTTGGAAATCCGCGTTGCGAAACCTTGTGTGTTTCTTCACGTTTTCGACATTGCACATTGGAATCCTTCCGAGACAAAAAAAGGATTTCAGGATTTCGGCATGCGCCCGCGACGACGCGCGCGCATGCACTTCGCCCCATGTTTGTTGCCAGGGATTCTTGAAAACATGGAAACTGATGATTTGTGATAAAGGAGTGCGCGCGCATAAAATCTTTTCCATGGGAACTGAAGAAGGCCAATGCCGACCTGGCTGGGATAATGAATTCAAAAATAGGATGGACATTGGGTCAAATCATACGCGTTTTGCATCGGTTCCAGGGAAGTCAATGAGTCTGGGCGGGGCGGCGGGGGGGGGGGGGGCGGAACCAAATTTTTTCCAGAAAGGAGAATTAATCTTCACAAATGAACTGACGCATCCCATGCCCCTGCAAACATCCCGCCAACCCACCCGCAACTTGGTCTGCTAAATCCAGGCGGCGGCGATTGCAATGAGTGCTGCGTTGGCTGGCGCATCCTTGCGGGGCCGCGCCAACCCCAGCACGCGCGCGCGGCGGCCAGCTGGTTTGGCGCGACTGGCGCAGCCGCGGCGGCGCTGACCGCTGGGCGCACCACAGCGGGCACTATGCTGCGAGTCGGCGACTTGGGTGGGCGCGGCATCATGGCAAAGTCGACAGCGGTAGACGCGACGATGGGGAGTGGCCATTCCGGTGGCGATGTTGACAACGACGACGGCGCGGCCAGCGACAGCGCCGATGCTGATCACGCCGGCGACGACGACGGCGCCCTCGCGTCGGCGATGGAGGTTTTTGAAAGAGTTCGACATGCGCGCGCGGCCGACGCGCAAGAATGGCCCGCGCGGCATCATTTGACACAGATCGCGCCGCCCCAACACGCGCGCAAAAGACGCGCGAATGATCTCGGCATGCGGCGCGACAGGTCCGTTTGGCAGAATCCCACGACAAAAAAGGCTTCCGCTTTTTCGAGGACTGACGTTGCGAAGCCATTTGTTGTCTACATATGTGTGTTGACGCTCGGTCTTGCAATCCTTGCGACACCGAAGGTTTTTGATTAATTTCGGCGAGCGCGCGCGACGACGCGCGCGCGTGCACTACGCCCATTTCTGTTGCAATGGGTTGTCGCGACAGCACGCGCGCAGGGGCGCTCGAACGATTTCGACGCGCGCGCGCGCGAAGCCGTTTTGTTAGCATATCAAGTAATCGAGCAATCCATGGTTTTCCTGAGGATTCGCATGAGCGCGCGCGAAAGCGTTCTTGCATGCCCGCGCTGCGAAGCCATATGTTTTGCACATGTATCTTGGGGTCTCGATTCTGAAATCCTTACGACGCCGAAGGTTTTTGAAGGACTTCGGCACGCGCGCGCGACCACGCGCGCGCGTGCACAACGTCCTTCTGTTG